GCCGGACGGCGCGGCCACCTGAGGGGCAGGCGTGCTTCTGGCAAGCAGGAAAATGCACCAAGTGAGACGCACTCATGGAAGGCCGCTCGCGCATCCAACGGATCTCTCCCTCTGAGACGAGGTCGCCCTTGAGATCGTCTGGCTTCTGTCGCGAATTCTTGGCCGCGGCATGCAGCTCCTCCCCGCCAGATAGCACGGTGCAAAAGAAGAAGAAGAAGAAGAATAAGAAGAAAAATAAGAATAATAAGAAGAATAAGAAGAAGAAGCAGCACTCCGCGGACCATGCCTCGCTCGCCCAATTCGCGGGCCCTCGGGGTGCAGAGCAGCGGTCGCCCGCCCGCCCCCCCCCCGCCAGCCCCGGAGCTCGCCCGCCCCCGAGCACGCTCGTGCAGCGAGCCGTCGAGAAATACGTCGCTGGCCCCACGGCTGCCGTCGCTGCCGTGCTTCTGGCTCGAGGCGCGATCGTCGCTGGGTACCTGGGAGCTGGCCGAGGCCGCGGGCGCTGGCCACGGCGCCCTCTGCAGCAGGGACTGCGCCTTCGGGGGCGGCAACCCCTCCTGAGTGCCATCTTGAAACGATCGGGCACGCCCCCCCCCCGCGCCCCGCCCCGCCCCCAGCACTCGCGGCGCCAGCGGGCTGGGCCAAGGGCCCGACCCCAAGACGCAAGAGACACCGAGAGTCAGAGACGAAACCCGCGTCGCACTCCTTCGAAGTGGGCCGCTGCCCATCAATCCTGAAGCCGCGCCCGGCAGGCTCGCCGCTCCGCAGCGAGGCCACCCTGCTCCTTGCGCTTGGCCGACGGAGGCCTGGAGCCACTCAGAATGCGTGCTGGCAGGGGCCAGGCGCCCCCCTCGGACAGATGCTCGAAGGCCCTCGGCGCGGGCCAAGGGCTTTCCGCTGCCGTGCCGCAGTGCCCGCGCGCGCCAGTCTGCGCAGGCGCCGAATGCCGAGTGCTCGCGAACATCATAAAGCTCGCGCCGTCGCGCGGGAACCAAGCCAGCGCGACCTGCTCGGGGCGCCTCCAGGAGACCCATTCCAGGGGGAACCCGACGGCCCCGAGAGGCCCCCAAACCTGAGGCCAGCGCTCCACCTGCAGGGCCTGCTGAAGGCCGTGCTCGAGGACCTCCACGGGCGCCAGGGGCTCTCTTGCAGCGCCCCTCCGAACGCCTGGAGATGGTCGCGCGGAGGATCGTGCCAGCCCCTTCACCTAGCGCCAGCGTCGCGGCGCGCGGCTCGATGGCAACGCGGGGGCCCCGTCGCCGTGAACGTCAGACTGCGCGCCGACGCAGGCGCCTGCCGTGACGCGCCAACGACTGACGATCGCGCAACGCGCCGCGCGCAACTCGATTACTCGAACCGCAGTTGGGACTTTCTCATGCGACCGACTTTCGCGCGAGCCACTCCCATGCGCTCGCGTCGCGCGCTCCTTCCACGCGCGAGATCGATCCAGAGCTTGCGACCGTGCCCGACGGAGGCGGCCCCCAGCTTCTCGAGCGGCTTGGTTATGCACTGAGAGCGCGCAGGGCGGGCGGCAAGGGGGGGCCCTTGGGGCGGGCGACCGCAACCCCAAGAGCGCAATGGTGCCCCAGCCCGCCCCCGCCCTTGCCAAATTTCCGTCGAGGCCCACATCAAAAACAACGCAAGCATGCCGGGGCACTCCTGCGACCCGCGCGCCCCAGGACGGCTGAGGAACCCTGCTTGGTCAGCGCCCTCGAGGCCACGCCCGCCCGCAGATTGGGGCGCGGGCGAGGGCGAGGACGGGGCGCCGAAGGTCGGCCGCGGGTGCCCCTGCAGCCGGGCGCCCGTCGGGCGGCCTCCCAGCAGAGCGCCCTGCCGCGCGGCCGAGGGGCGGCGCCCGCCCCGAGGGCGCCTGCATGGAGGCTGGCCAGTGGAAGCGGCGAAGGACGGGCCGCAGAGGCAGGGGCGCAAGGGCGCCCCAGAAAGAGGGCGCGCGTCCTCACAGCGCGCGTTGCCGGCGCCAGTCCTGCCCCGGAGGCCGTCTGACGTCGCGCGGCGCTCCCCCTCGCGGGTTCTCAAGTGGAACCGATCCTGCATTTTCTCGAAACTTTTCTCTACCTTGGCGACTTCCCCGGTGAAGGCCTTGGCGGGCCCGACCTTATGCGGGGTGGGATAATATCATCAACGACGGCCGCAATAGACGCCGATCTGCACAGATACCAAAACTGGTGCAGCGGCTTGGCGAGGGCCAACTTCGCAAGGGTGGTGGCCCAACCGTCGCCAGGCAGGATGGTCTGTTCGACCTTCAGCGGATCGCTCGCCGCGGCGCTGAGCGATGAACACCTGGGTGCCCTGTGGAGGAGGATATGAAAGCGCGACCACCACAGCGGCGGCCCTGTGCGCACAGCATCCTCCAACAACCAGCGATGCTGAATCTGTTCAAACGCGAAAACTTGTCTCATCAGATCCATGAGAACCGGACCAGACACCCGCATGCCCTGCTGTGCTCCTTCGCCTTCCTGCGCAGCCCGCGCGGACCATGCCGCTTGCTGCCGCGCCGCTCGTTCACGCCACTTCCCAGGAGACGCCCAGAAGTACCGCCCATGCTTTCGAACCTCCCAGGTCCTGAGCAACAGATCGTCTGAGACGCGCCTGGGCCCTCGGCAGCGCATGCAGCGGCGCGATCGGGCGGGCGCCGCCCAACCGCTCGGCTAAACACCACATCTCGGTGGCCAGCTGCGACCGCTCTGCCCGCGCATCCGTCGCGACAGCGATGCCAACCAGGCGCTCTACGCTGGCGTCCCAGAGCCCGTGGAGCTGCAGAGGGGGAAGCATCCAGAGCCCCATCCCTGCCGTAGTCCCAGAAGATCGAAGCACTCTGCGCATCCCCTCGGTGGTCGGGCGACGGAGGCGCACTCCAAGACCCCCGGGCCAGTCAAAGATGGGGCGGTCGTCTCCTAGCGTCCACCGTGTACTCCACGTAGTTGACAACATGTTGCTTCTGCCGGTACTTCGCCACCGGGTTCCTGCACAAGGCGTTCCTTTGCTAGCGCGTCGTTTTCGGCACCGCCTGATCCCGAGGCTTTGCCTCCTCCTGGCCTTGCCGTGAGGCCGCGCTCCTTCTGCCCCCCCCCCCCCCCCTCTTTGTCAATTCAAGCTTCGCGCGGCCCGCTTAGCTTCGACCGGAAGAGGTGCGCTCTCCACCCGCGGATCAAACAAAAAAAAAACTGCATGGGGACCTCGGGGCCGATGGCGCTCCCGCGCCAGTCCCGAGGCCCCCCGGGCATCGCATGCCACGTTCCGGCCAGACTGCTCGGAGACCCACGCCCTGAACTTGGCCGCCGTGGCAGCCGTACCCCTGCGGGCCACGCTGGCGGCTCTCCTTCCTTGACTCTCGAGCCTCTTCCTTCTCCTTTTCGAGCCTTTCGAGCGCGGCCCCAAGTCGCATCCGCGACGCGGCCGATCGCCTCCGCGGCAGTTGCCACGGAGGCTGCGGACTTTGCCGCACAAGGAGCGCAGCGCGGCCGCTGCACATCTCACCGAGGGTCCGAAGGCCTCTGGAGGCCAGGACGGCCGAGGGTCCGAAGGCCTCTGGAGGCCTCCTTTTCCTCCTCCTCCTCCTCCACCTGCTGCTTCTCCCCGCTCCCTTCGCCGTCTTCGCGGCACTCGTCTGGGACCTCGTCAGTGCTGCTGCCCGGCGGGAGCAGGTCGGAGCCTCGAACGCGGAGCCCTCCGGTGCCATTGCGGATGGCATGTTGCAGCACTGCCGGGGAGAGTACCCTCTGTGCTCCGTGCTTCGCACATCGGCGCGGCTTCCCGCTGGTCATTGGGCGCGCCCCTGCGCCGGGATGCCGCTCGATGCGCTCCGCGCCGGCGTGACGCGGCAACGGTGGCAGGCACGAGCGGGGCAAGAGCATCTGCATGGAGCAGCCCGGTCAATGGTACAGCGGGCGCGCACAGGGCCCCCAAAAAGCCATGCTGGCGGGTATTCGCCCGCATGGCACGTCTTGACACGTACCGCGCATGGGATCAGTTCTGCTCCGTGGCAGTTTTCGAGCCAGAGCCGCGCCCACAGTTTGGACGTCATGCCGGGAGACACCCAAACAATCGTATCGGTGCGGGCGACATAGCAGCCATCGTGACACATCGGCTGCAGAGTCAGCCTTTGACACAACGGCGGGTTCGCAGGGTTACCTCCGCGTGCACGCGATTCGAAATCTGTTGTCCGCATGAACTGAATCACCTCCCACCCGTAAGTGCGCACAGATCTTGAATGTGAGACCGATCTTCTTACGTTTACAATCAAATTCACAAGTCGTGCCAACATTATTTTCCATGGTGTTCCTGGTCTTCCCTCCCGGGTTTCTTCCCCTCTCTCCCCTCCGTGCGTCCATAGTCGGCATGGCTCAAGCCATTGCCAGTTTCTTCACCACGTTTTCTCGTCGTAGCGGAGCCGCAGCTGCAGCAGACGTCGTTTGAATCGCTCGAGCTCCAAGAGTATATGGGTGCCGGGATCATCAAACACATTGTTGTTAGTATCAAGTGTCCTTCACTCGGGCAGTGATTTGGAACATCTTCGGGTCCAGTAGGCGGCAACCATCTACAATATAACAACCATCTTCATTGTTGTTATCAGGACAGCAATGAAGGTGCCGCGGGGCTCGGCGGGTCCATCGGTGGATAAGACATCGTCGAGGGGCACTCATCGGTAGGCAAATGTCTCACTTTGTGCGCATACCGTACTCCCCCTCCTCCTTGCTTCTCCGTCCCGCCTCTTCTTCCTTATCTTCCCCACTATCGAGGGGCACGCGTCGGCAGGCCAGTTTCTTAGTGTGTGCGCATGCCGTACTCCCCTCCTCCTTGCTTTTCCGTCCCGCCTCTCCTTCCTCATCTTCCTCATTCTCGAGGGGCCCGCGTCGGCAGGCCAATTTCTAATTATTTCGTGCGCGTGCTTTGCTCCCTTCCTCCTTCCTTTTCCGTCCCGCCTGCCCTTCCTCCTCTTCCCCCCCCCCCGGAGGTCGCCGAGCGCCCGAGGCAGCGGCGATCTGGAAGATGCGCTGCGCCTGCGCCAGCGGCTTGGAGTCGAAGAACTCTTGCAGGAGCTGCGAGCCGAGGGGGCCCCCTCCTGTTCCTGCTCCTCCTGCTTCCCCTCCTCCTCCTGCTGCCTTCGACGTGCGCCTCCTTCTCCTCCTCTTCCTCTGCCTCTGCCCTCCGCCTGCTCTGCCTCTGCCCTCCTTCTCCTCCTCCTCCTCCTCCTCCTCCTCCTCCTCCTCCTCCTCCTTTTCCTAAAAACACATTGTCCCTGTCGCCCCCCGTGGCCAGTTCTTACGGCGGGCTGGGCGTTTCGCCCGAGACTTCCTCAGCATGTATGACCCTGAATTTCAAGCACACTTTCACAGATGGACGGCGCGTCGTTTTCAGCAGGTGGCTCTCGCCTTAGCGCCGCGTACATGTATTATCAACCTTTGCATGAGCTTCACGGATTGAGGGCGGCCCGTTTTCAAAATGTGGCCCTGGCCTTAGCGCTGCGCGCATTCGTTTTAAACATTGCGAGAGCTTCATGGATTGAGGGCGGGTCGTTTTCAAGATGTGGCTCTCGCTTGAGCGCCGCGCGCACATTCGTTTTAAACAATTGCAAGGGTTTAACGGGTTGCGGGCGGTTCCCTTTCAAAATGTGGCTCTCGCCTTAGCGCAGCGCACATTCGTTTTAAACTCATGTGCAAGGGCTGCACGGATTCCCATGACCACCGTACCAAAAATTGTGTTTTGGCAAGATTCAGGATGTTGAGGGCGCAGCAGTTGCGTTGATTCGCGGCGTTGAGGTCTAAGGAACGGCGTTCTGGCACGATTCCGGATCGTCAAGACGCAACAGTCAGCTTGATCCGTGACGCTGGACTCCCGAGAACAATGTTTTGGCATGCTTCAGGGTCTTCAAGCAGCTATCTTCCAGCGAGGCAGTTCCCTCTGTGGGAATGAACCGTTGCAGGGGCCTATGAAGAGGAAGATTGGAGGGAGGGTTGATTCCAACATCGTTGATGACTCTTGGGTTTGCATTGGTCCTCCTCCACCTCCTCCTTCTCCTCCTCCTCCTCATCATCATCCCCTCCCTCCCCCTCCTCTTCCTCCTCCTCCTCCTCCTCCTCCTCCTCCTCCTCCTCTCCCCCCTCCTGACAGGGGCACGACTGCCACCTTGGAAGGCGTGCTGCCAAAGCCCTTGAGTTGTCTGTGGAGGCCGATTCAACCAAGGATGAGAGAGAGCGAGCCGTGCGCAGAGTGCTGCATGCCTCCCAGCAAACAATAGCCCTCGTGGCGTCTAGCCACCAATTCCAACGGACGGGTGCCAACTGGGCCGTCTTGCGTTCCTCTTTGGGGCATCTCGGGTCGTCTTGAAACGATCTTGGGTGAGATAGGCTGGTCAACCACCGCTCCGACTCACCCGACCCCATGTCCAAATGAATCGCAACGGGCTGAGTTAATGAGGGTGAGTTAAGCACCAAATGAATTAAGCCTGGTGGGTCAAGCACCGGGTGAATTAGACTGGGTGAGTTAGTCATCGGGTGAATTACGACTGGGTGAGTTAAGCACCAGGTGAATGAGGGACGGATGAGCTAGCACCAGGTGAGTTAGGCACCTGATTAACAAAACACCTGGTGAGTTAGGCACCGGGTGAGTTGTACGGGCAAGGGATGAATTAGGTATCGGTCGTAGGCACCGGGTTAATTAGGCACGGGGTGGAGTTCAGCATTGGGTGAATCAGGCACCGGGTGAGTTAAGCACCGGGGGAGTTAAGCACTGGGTGAGTGACAACGGGTGGATTAAGCACCAGGTGAGCACTGGATGAAGCAGCACCGCGGGTGAGTTAGGCATCAGGTGATTTAAGCATCGGGTCAGTTAGGCGGCGGGTGAGTTTAGCACCGGGTGAGTTTAGCACCGGGTGAGATAGGCATGGGTGAGTTCATCACCGGGTGAATTAGGGACGATTAGTTAAACACCAGATGACTTAGGCACCGGATGAGTTAAGCATCGGGTGAGTTACTGGGTGAATTGAGCACTAAATTACGGGCACGGGATGGTCGACTTAGGCACCGGGTGAATGAGGCACGGGGCGAGACAGGCATTTGCAAATGCCTGACTCACCCCGTGCTTGATTCACCCGGTGCTTGATTCACCATGGTGAATCAAGCACCGGGTGAGTTAGGCGCCGGGTGAGTTCAGCACCAGGTGAATTGGGCACCAACGAGTTCAACACCAAGTAAGTTAGGCACCGGGTGAGCCAGGCACCAGGCGAGTTAGTCAGCGGGTGAATTAAGCATCGGATGAATTAGACACTGGGTGAATGAGGCACCGGGTGAATTAGTCACTGGGTCGGGTGGGTTGAGCGCCGTGTGAATTTGGCACCGGGTAGTTTAGGCATCACGTGTATTAAGCACCGGATGGGTTAGCGACCCGGTGAATTAGCGACAGGGTGAATTGGCGATCGGGTGAATTAGGCACTGGGTGAATTGGGCACCATGTGAATTAGACACCGTGTGAATTATAAGCACCAGGTGGATTAGGCGCCTGGGTAGTTGGGCACTGGGTGAGCTAGCGACCAGGTGAGTTCAACACCGGCTACATTAAGCACCGGGTAAGTTAAGGCTGGGTAAATTGAACACCGGGTCAGTTAGGCGCCAGGTGAGTGCAGGGCCGGGGGGATGAAGCACTGGGTGAAGTGAGGCCCGGTGAGTTGGGCCAGGTGGGTGATGCAAGCTCGAGTGAGTTAGACCCGGTGAGTTCAGGACTGGGTGAGTTGGTCAGTCAGTCAGTTAGCCGTGCGTCCAGTAGGACGCGTTGGCACAAGCCTGAGACACGCCAAACACCCGCCTGAACAGCCGTGCGACACGCCAAACACGTGCAAAGGACGAATTGGGCGCGGGTGAATTCAGGATCAGGGGAGTTCAAGGCCCAGGTGAGGTTACGGATCGGGTGCGCTGGCCCAGTTTCCGCCCTGGAGCGTCGGAGGCCCGGAGGGGGGCGAGAGCACCGAAGTCCATCGGAGGAGCTTGGCCTGGCGGGAGGTCTCCTGGCAGCCCTCTGAGGGCAAGCAGCGCGCGCACGCCGAATCTGTGGCGGAGGTTTACGACGCACGCCGTGAACGGGAGAGCCAAGGCCACCCACCCCCAGCCCACCAGTTACAGTCGCAGCGCTGTCATAAGCAACCCCAACTAAGGAGGGAGGCCCCTGTTTTCCATAGGGGAAACTCAAATCCCCCGCAGAAAACCTAAGGACACCCTAAGGCAAGCTGTAACAACAGTTCAGGGAACCCTGGGCCCCTCCGCAACGAAAAGGGTTCCTTCTTCAGCGGCCCGACTGCATTCAGACGGAGGCGAGGGCTCCTCCCCCTCCTCCTCCTCCCTCCTTCTCTGCCTGCGGGTCTCCTCCTCGTCTCCTCGTCTCCTCGTCTCCTCGTCTCCTCGTCTCCTCCTCCTCCTCCTCCTCCTCCTCCTCCTCCTCCTCCTCCTCCTCCTCTTCGTCTCCTCCTCCTCCTCCTCCGCCTGCTGGCCTCCTTTTCGTTTCATCCTCCTCTTTCTTGGGCGTTGCTTAATGTGGGGGGGTCGAGAAAATGGTGGGGGGGGGGGAGGGGAGAAGGGTGCTCTTTAAAGGCCCTGAAGGCTCCCTTGGGCTCTACAAGGCACCCTTTTTTTCTGCAGCCCTCGCAACCTCACCATTTATCGCCCTCCATTACGCGGCGCCCAATCCTTCCTCTTTCCACTCCGCCCGTGACCCCAGGCGTCCCGTGTTCGGGGCCATTGTCGTCTTTGTTGCATCCGCCACTGCAGGGATCCGTCGTGTATCGTTCCCCTTTATCTCGCCTCCTCCGCCGCTCCTTGACCTCCTGCCACTGCTGTGGACGCTGCGGCACCGAGGCCTTTCGCCAGCTGCGGAGGCCCCGAGCGAGCCACGGGCTGCCCGCACACAAGTGCGGTGCAAGAGAGGGCCGCCGCACCGGCCCCTCGGGAGCGCCCCGTGAGGGCAGCGAAGGCGGCGGGCAAACCATGTCGGAGGCCTGGAAGTTGGCACCGACACCAGCCCAGGGGGGTTGCCTCCACAGGGGGAAGCCGATCCCAGACTTCGGCGTTGGCGGCAACGTGTCGGCCCCCTAGGAAGCCAGAAGACTGCCACCGCCACCGAGATCGGGATCGTCTGCCCTCGGTGGAGGCACGCCGCCGACCTTGGCGTTGGTGTCGACCTCTGGGCCTGCGGCCATGCTCCCATCGCGGCACCCGCGTCGGCAGCCAAGAGCAAAAGGCCAGACTTGCCGACGGAGTCGGCTGACTTTTTCCCCGCCGCGTGGCGGCCCCCCCGCAGTGTCCACAGGATCCTCTCTTTTCCTCCTCCCACCCCTCCTCTGCCTCGCCCTGCCCTTTGCCTCTGTTCCTCCTGACCATCGTCCTATATCATTGTCCACCGTCTGCTCCTCCTCCTCCTGCTCCTCCTCCTCCTCCTCCTCCTCTTCCTCCTCCTTCTCCTCCTCCTCCTCCTCCTCCTCCTCCCTCTCCTCCTGATCCTCCTCCTCCCCCTGCTCATACTCCGTCTGCTGCTGCCGATCCCAACTCCAGCTCGTCCTGCTGCTCCCGCTTCTGTGCTGCCGCCTCACACGCTGCCGCTCCTACTCCGGTTGCTCCCCCTGCTGCTGTTGCAAGGAGGCTGAAAGGAGGAGGAGGAGGAGGAGGAGGAGAGCAGGAGGAGGAGGAGGAGGAGGAGGGGGAGGGGGAGGAGGAGGAGGAGGAGGAGGAGGAGGAGGAGGAGGAGGAGGAGGAGGAGGAGGAGGAGGAGGAGGAGGAGGAGGAGGAGGAGGAGGAGAAGAAGGGGGCCCGAAAGTGGAAATCGAAGGGCTGCGATTACGAAGTCTGCCCGACAGCGTCAGCGCTGAAGGCCGACGAGTGTCTGTCCAGGCGTGCGGAGTCCAGCGCAGGGCCGCGAGCACATGCTCGTTGCGGGATGTGCGTGCTTGATGAGTTTTGACACGTTTCGGGGTTGCCTCGTGTTTGAGACTAGAATTGTAGAGGGCAGAAAATCCCCCCCCCAATAGTCATCCCGACAAGTGAAGCCGTTTAGTAAACGCACCCAAGAAAGGAATCGAACAGGGCAGGGCTGTTTAGTGAACGCCCAGGGCCGTTTAGTAAACGTCAATTGTCGGGTCCGGGTGGTTTTTCCTCACTTGAAATTGGGAGCCCTCACACCAAGTGGTGAGATATCAAATGGTGCCCTGGAATCCCCAAACAATCACCGCCAGGTTCTGCCGGTTTTTGTGACTCCTGGACCCACTAGCGTTGGGACATCCTCGAAAAACCACACGGGTCCCCGAACCGAGTGGTGACACCACATCGCCCGAGACCCACCGCCGAGTGTAGTCACCACCACGTTTGGGGACAACCACTTGAAACCAGAAACCAAAAGAGGGCCTGGAGAAGAAGAGGATGAGGAGAGATCCCTCGGGATCCTGCCTCGGCCCCCCTCCTTGACGGACGCGCCAGATGACTGCAAGAGTGCCGAGGGTTTTCGCGACTGGGCGCGTCGGCCAGCGCTTGTCGGCACTCGTCCCCTCGCGGCGCCGTGCAGTCTGGCACACGCCTCCTGCCCATCGCCTCACTGCTGCTCCTAATCCTCCTACTTCTTCTTCTCCTTAGTAGTATTGTCCTTAATGCGCTTCGCAATACTATTTTCATGTTCTTCTCCGTCTATCATATTCATTATCTCTTCCATCTCTTCCTCCTTCGCCTGTTCCCCCTCCTCCCAATCTTCGTCATCATCCACTTGCATGCTGCTTATCCTCCTCCTCCTCCTCCTCTTCCTTCTCCTCCTCCTCCGCCTCCTCTTCCTCCTTCTCTCCCTCCCGCGGACGGCTCACTCTGGCGCCTTAACGTCGTATGTGAGAGGCAAGCCAGTCTCGTCGTCCGTGGGTATGTCCACCAGCGCCTTGTAAGCGAATCGCTAACCCTCTTTCCTGCATCGGTCCTTAACCAATCACTCCGCCTCTTCCCCCTCCTCATCTGACACCACCGCCACCTGCTCCGTCTCCCCTCCCCCTCTACCGCCGCGACGCTTCTGCCGCCGCCATAACCTGCCGCCAGGACCCAAAATGGTGTGCCACGAGCTCCGATGCCCGCCATGGCAATTTCGCACTGTCCATCCCCTCACCGCCTCGTCCTCTTCCCTCATCATCCTCCCCCAATGCGTTTTGACCAGATTTCGATGGGAAGATCCAGACGAGGCGAAACCGAGCCTCCTGGAGTCCAGAAAAGGCAACGCCCTAAACCATCCATCCTTGACCCTCCTACTCCTCGGAGCTCTCCGGAGGTCTCTGGAGGGCCATGTAAGCCCTCAGATGCCCGAGGAATATCGAACACTTCTGCAATCTCGAGCCTCCTCATGATCCTAAAGCCTCCTTCCTCATAGCCCCCTGCTCTGCCACCTGGCCTGGCCGGCCGGTGCGGGGTGCACTCGGGCCGCCCCGCCCTCCCTGCTCCCGCCTCAGGGTGCACACTCCTGCTATGCCACCTGGCCGGCCAGTGCTGGGTCCGCCTGGGACGCCCCAGAATACCCCCAAAAAGGCAAACAGATACATAAAAAACAGGCCCCAGACTATTTGTGGATTATTTTAAGGCTATTTTGGGGGTATTTCTTATTCTTCGTCGAAAATCCCCCTGCTTCCAACAGCGGTGCCGAAAAACATCCCGCGCGAACAAAAAAGACGAGATGTGGCCCTGGCCGTGGCGCCGCGCTCCTTTCCCTCGAGCATTGCGCCGCTGCCCGGGTCTGGCGCGCGCCTGTGGCGCCTAACGTTGCGCCCGCGGGTCCGCCGACGCCGCGCGGACCTCGCCTGGAAAGGACGCTCCCGCCCAGGCGCGGCGCATCATTCTGACTCGTCGTTGGGGGCGGGGCCGCACGCGAGAGGGCCACTTGTGACCCTGGCTCCAGCTGCGCGCATACCCATCGGTCGGAAGAAGCAGGTAAATTACCCTGGCGACGTACCCAACCCCTGCGCAAAAGCGGGGCGCAAATAGTTTAGGATACTTTATAAGGGGGCGATGACGGAGCGAGGGTTACATATGTCTGCAGACGGAATTCGGGAGACTCGCAGGACACTGGCTACAGGAAAAGGGCTTGATAAAGCTGATGATTTACAATTCCTGAGCACTCCTAGCCACTTCGAAAACGGGGATCACAGCAGGCCTCGAAAGTGGCGACAGGTTCACAGATCGCAGCCCCGCAGGGATGGCGAGGTCTCATTTGAATCTGCCCGTGGCCCTCACTGTGCTGGGCCCCCCAGCAGGCCTCGAAAATGGCGGCAGTTTCGCAGATCGCAGCCCCCCAGGGATGGCGAGGTCTAATTTGAATCTGCGCGTGGCCCTCACTGTGCTGGGCCCCCCAGCAGGCCTCGAAAATGGCGACAGTTTCGCAGATCGCAGCCCCCCAGGGATGGCGAGGTCTAATTTGAATCTGCCGCGATGGCCCTCACTGTGCTGGGCCCCCCAGCAGGCCTCGAAAATGGCGACAGTTTCGCAGATCGCAGCCCCCCAGGGATGGCGATGTCTAATTTGAATCCGCGCGTGGCCCTCACTGTGCTGGGCCCCCCAGCAGGCCTCGAAAATGGCGACAGTTTCGCAGATCGCAGCCCCCCAGGGATGGCGAGGTCTAATTTGAATCTGCGCGTGGCCCTCACTGTGCTGGGGCCCCCAGCAGGCCTCGAAAATGGCGACAGTTTCGCAGATCGCAGCCCCCCAGGGACGGCGAGGTCTAATTTGAATCTGCCCGTGGACCTCACTGTGCTGGGCCCCCCAGCAGGCCTCGAAAATGGCGACAGTTTCGCAGATCGCAGCCCCCCAGGGATGGCGAGGTCTAATTTGAATCCGCGCGTGGCCCTCACTGTGCTGGGCCCCCCAGCAGGCCTCGAAAATGGCGACAGTTTCGCAGATCGCAGCCCCCCAGGGATGGCGAGGTCTAATTTGAATCTGCGCGTGGCCCTCACTGTGCTGGGCCCCCCAGCAGGCCTCGAAAATGGCGACAGTTTCGCAGATCGCAGCCCCCCAGGGATGGCGAGGTCTAATTTGAATCTGCCGCGGTTACCCTCTATGCAGGACCCCCCAGCAGGCCTCGAAAGTGGCGACAGTTTCACAGATCGCAGCCCCCCAGGGATGGCGAGGTCTAATTTGAATCTGCCGCGGTTACCCTCTATGCAGGACCCCCCAGCAGGCCTCGAAAGTGGCGACAGTTTCACAGATCGCAGCCCCCCAGGGATGGCGAGGTCTAATTTGAATCTGCCGCGGTTACCCTCTATGCAGGACCCCCCAGCAGGCCTCGAAAGTGGCGACAGTTTCACAGATCGCAGCCCCCCAGGGATGGCGAGGTCTAATTTGAATCTGCCGCGGTTACCCTCTATGCAGGACCCCCCAGCAGGCCTCGAAAGTGGCGACAGTTTCACAGATCGCAGCCCCCCGCAGGCAAGACAGGAAGAGGCGGGAGGCGGGAGGCGGAGGCGGGAGAAGGGACGCGACCACACTGCTCTATTCAAAACGAATACCCAACCAAGGAGGGTTGGGAAAAACATATGAAGTCGGAGGGCGTTGAAAGTAGATGGGGCGTCCGCCCGCCCCCTGAAGAGGACGGAAAAGGTAAAGCCACTCGATCATTGAAGCAGGCAGGCGCTCAGAGTAGATTGGACGCTGGGAATGCCAGAATACCTACTTTCAACGACCCGTGAGCACTCTGTCTGGAAGCGACGTCCCCGCGCGGGCGCGGCGCATGGTCGGCTCGCCGGAACGCATGCCCAGGGGGCGACGGAACGTGGGGGCCCCAAACCCGGAGAGCAGGGCGCCCTGAAGGGCGTGGACGGGCCTGTCGGAGCACTCTATGGGAGGACCTGGAGAGATCGGGAGCGGCCAAGAGGGGGCTGTCCAAGAGGGGGGGGCGCAAACCATGACCGGCGGCAGGTGCGCGGCCCAGCGGGGGGGGCCTGGGACGTAGTGAAATAAGCAGGGGCGCCATGAGATCTGAGGACAAAGCATGGCCCGCGCCATGAAATCCCCCCCCCCTAGTCATCACCCCCCTCTTTTCCGCTCCCGGAGAGAGCTTCCGACGGACCTTCCGGAGCGCTTCCGGGCACGCGTGCCCCCCGTGTGGGCGCGGCGCATGCTCGGCTCGCCGACGCGCATGACACGGGGCAGCGGCAGAGGGGCCGCGCGAGATGCGGGCGGCATGCTGTCCTCGCCCAGAAGCGCCGCGCAGCTGGCGCGTGAGAGTGGCAGCGCCGCCTCGGCGCAGTGCGTGCCTCGCCCCGGCCGCGCGCCTCGGAAGCCCGGGCGGCCCGAGAAGGCCCCGCGGTGGAGGCTTTAGGCAAGGAGGCCGTCAAGAAGGAACCCAGGGTCTCGCGACCGATGGGCGGCCAAGCGTGGGCCACACACCTCGCCCTGCAACAGGCAGGCATGCGCCAGCGTCTGGGCCCCAGGAAGACGTTCCTTCTCCACTGCCGCCGCCGCATACCCAGACATCCGACGCCCCGATGTTTTCGAGACACGGGCCCCCGACCTCCCGACCACTTCCCCAGGGCAGGTTTTCCGCCCCGACTCGTTCTTTGACTCGAGGGCTGGAGATCCACCCCGGTCATAAGCACCCCGACAACGCAACCGCTTAGTAAACGCACCCGACGAAGGAATCGAACAAGAAAGCGCTGTTTAGTAAACGCACGGGACCGTTTAGTAAACGCCGATTATGGGGGTCGGGGTGGATTTGTCCTTGTTGATTGACGGCCCCGAGGCCCAGCGAGGGCCTCCAGAGGCCGAAAACGACGAAAAACCTCCGCCCCGATTTTTTTTCGAGGCGCCCGACGTCTGTGTGCGAGGCGTTCTCGCCGCAACACCGCGCGAGGAGTTCCTGCAGCCCCGCTCCCGAGCCCTCGGCGCGGCCCGCACTGCCTTCCCCTCGCCGGGTCGCCAGAAGCGGGGCCAGAAGCGGTGGCAGCTTCCCGTCGTGTGGTGGGCGCGCGCTCTGTCTGGCAGCACGCGGCCACGTGCGCCGAGGAGGAGGAGGAAGAAGAAGAGGAGGAGGGTGGGTGGGAGTACCGTGTGGGAGCTGCCCAGCAATAGGAACATGCCGTGGACTGATCTGCCCTTCCTCCGACCCTGTACTGCGTCGAAAGCAACATCCGGGTAACGTGTACTGCATCCACCCCGATTGTGTTTATATGCACAGCGCCACACAATTTGACCATATGCGCTTGTAGCTGGAGAGTGAGAGCGGTACTGGCACAGGCCCCAAATATCGGTCGTCCTAGAAGCAGGTCGATGCTGCCCTCCAAGAGGAAGTGCAAGCAGAACATGCGGCGGCGGCGAGGCGGTCGCGCCGAGTCGCCGAAGCGGGACCGCACGCGAGCACCTTCCTGTCGCTGGATGGGAACGCGCTCCGGTACCGATATGAAGCTGCGCCGCCATTGATTCCGATGCCATTGGGGGGAGGATAGGAATGAGCGGCGCCCGCTGCCTCGTTCGACATGTCTCACTTGGCTCCTCCTCCTCCTCCTCCAAATTCGACTCCTCGCTTCCTCCTCTCCTCTTCCTTTCTCCCTGCTCTCTTCTTCGCCTCCCTCCCCTCTTCTCCTCATCCGCACCCTCCCCCTCCTCGTCCTCCAGTCCTCCTCCGCCGCGAAAGGGGATCCAGGATCTGAAAGCTGGGGAAACTCCAGTGGCGGAGTGGTCATGGACATCACCGCCGCCCTCATCAGATATGGCCGACGTCTCGATTTTTCCGAGACACAGACCCCCGACCTCCCGACCACTTCCCCGGGACGGGTTCTTCATCTCGAGTCGTTTTTTGACGGTCCCGAGGCCCGGCGAGGGCCCCGAGAGGCCGAACACGATGAAACACATCCGCCTCGGCTTTTGCTTCGAGCCGCTCGAGGTCTGGGCACACTCCTGGACCAG